GTCCATTCTCTGGGATACACACACACACACACACAAACATGTGCACAGAGGCCGGTGCTCCTGAGAGAGCAATGGACAAGGAATACCAATAATTCGACAAACCGCCCAGCATACTCAAGACAACACACACAGACTCACACACATTTCCCCTAAGGCGAGCCCTAAGGAGCTGGTTAAAGAGGCGGGTAACACACACACACTGATTTAGGCAGATAAACAAACTTTGGTTTGGCTCTTCTAAGTTAACTTACATGAGATGTGCTTGTTCTTGTCCGGCCTCGTGTATATTTCCAGAACCAAATGAACTTCACTTCAATCCACTTAGTGATCATCTTTCCCTGGTGTTCACATTGCTTCCTGATTTTATTTTGATGTTTATCGTCAAATCAACGCTTCCTCTGTGAATTCTAGACAGACTAAAAATCTGTTAAGTATATTTGTGAGTTTTGTGACCCTGCAGTGACAGAGTTGTGTGACTAAGCGTCTCTTCTTAACGGACACTCTCCCGTCACTCAGCCGGGGGAACCATTTTTTTTCTTCCGTGTCAAGCTTCCTGCAGAACTCTCCGCACTTCCTGCAGACATTTCTAATTAAAAGCCTTGTAGCTGCTCAAGGGCACAATCCATCTGAAATGATCTCAGATCTGACACACAGGCCTGAGCTGTCCACTCTCCTATTGATTTCCTTATCAGGGGACGGACACAGAAAATGCCAGGAATGAGCTTTGGGCGATGGAGAGCTCCACCGGCTCAGACGCACAGACCCACACACACACACACACACACACACACACACACACACACACACACACACAGTGACAGACATTTACACACCGCGGTGATGCTGCTGGGTCTTATTCTTGGACTACAATCAGCTTTATGACTTCCCAGGGAGACTTAGAAAGATGTAGCAGTATTCCTGGGGAACTCACACACACACACACACACACACACACACACACACACACACACACACTCTGCGTGGTGTCCACAGGGCACTGGCTGACAGTGGCTCTCCTGGATCTCTTCTACGCCCCACTGAGTCTTATCTCTGACGGACAGAACACACACACACACACACACACACACACTCAAATGCACATAAACAACACAACACGCTCACACATGAATGCAGATACATGGCCCCAAATACAGCGCACATTCATATTCCCTGAGACACAGACATGTCCTGTAGGCTCGCTGCTTCTTACTCACACACACACACACACACACAAGCAGACACACACACGCCAGCACAGCCAGGGGTATGGTTGAGACCTTGTTGCCCTGGGGCTTTGACTGCATCTGTTCGACAAGAGCCATACAAATGACAAACGTATGGAAGCAGGGGAAGTGTGTGTGTGTGTGCAGCAGACTGTCAGTGTCACTGACTTCTCGTCAAGGACGTCCTTTATTGTCCCATCAAACTGGACACTGTGTGTGTGTGTGTGTGTCATGCTTTATATTTCATTTCTTGTTCAATGGTCTGACTTTATCAAACCTCACGAGGAGATTTTACTTCCTCTCCTCCTCTTCTGTGTTTTTTTGTAACCTCCCTCTTCACCTCTTTATGCACTTCTGATAATTTGTCCCGCTACTCGTTTGTCTCAGGACTGGGGGAATATCTGTCGGTGCCACTTCTGCAAAGATATGTTCTTTTAAAGGAGAAGGACGAATTCTGTTTAATCTGCATGAGCAGTCACCAGGAGGAGGTTGGGTGGATGGCACTCAGCTTTACAACCGAGTCTTATTAGAACCATTGAAAGTTTAGTAACAGAAGTTACTACCGCTGGATACTGAACAATCTCTTTTATTTTGTTGAGGAATACATTTGTTTTCATAGATATTTTACTGTTCAGTACCAATGTATTTGCAATAAAGATGTAAATAAACATTACGTACTCATGTTAAGATACTATAATCACATCACACGATTCCTGTAAAATGAATTAGTTTTTGTGATTAAATTGTGATTTCTAGTCAAAAAGGGACAAATACGATAAAACTGAGGAAGAAAGAAGATGGAGAGGAAACTGAATGATGACAAGATAAGAATGTTGGTGTGTTGTTGACCTCTATCGATTTTCTTTGGTCCTTGAGATTATTTCAAACTAGCACAAGTGAAAGCAGAAATATTTTTGAATGTACAATGTTTTCTTCAGTATACACTGAAATAAAATCCTTAAAAACATTTAATAGTTGTTTCTAAATGTTTTTGCTTTCAAATGTAAATTGAATTGAGTTTCGTCTTGTTTATGTTCATATATTTTTTCTATTTAATGGTTTAACGTAAAGTTTCAGAACATGTTTAAATTTTACATTTTTACATTTTTCACCAAATAATCTTTTGTACCCAAATATTCAAAAGATACGACACAGGTGCTCTAAGTAATAATTCGAATTAGTTTTCATTTGTATAATTATTCTATTGATGATTTCAAGTCATTTGTTCAACGTGCATTTATTTTAAACTCCAGAAGTTCAGTAATTTGATTCAAAGGTTTAACGACTTAACAAGAAAGACATCATCTGTTGAACTAGCAGCAGTGTCGCGT